CGCAGCTCTGACCGCCGCCGCGGGAGCAGCCGCAGGTCCCGGTCCCGGGAGAAGCGGCGACGGCGGCGGCGCTCAGCCTCTCCACCCCCGGCCACCTCATCGTCCTCGTCCTCCAGGCGCGAGCGGCACCGCGGCAAACACCGGGATGGCGGCAGCAGCAAGAAGAAGAAGAAGCGGTCGCGGTCTCGGGGCGAGAAGCGATCGGGGGACGCGGGTGACAAGGCCCCGGTGCCCGTGCAGCAGCCCTCGGGTTCCTCTGCCGGCGGGGAGCGGGATAGCCGCCGCCGGGGCGCCGTGCCACCCTCCATACAGGACCTCACGGACCACGATCTCTTCGCCATCAAGCGAACCATCACGGTGGGCCGGCTTGACAAGTCGGACCCCCGAGGACCCTCCCCGGCGCCCGCCGCCTCACCCAAGCGTGAGGTCCTGTACGACTCGGAGGGACTGAGTGGGGACGAGCGCGGGGGCAAGAGCAGCGAGAAGGACCGCAGGCGCTCAGGGGCTGCCTCGTCCTCTTCCTCCTCTCGGGAGAAGGGCTCTCGGAGGAAGGCCCTGGATGGGGGGGACCGGGATCGGGACAGGGACAGGGACAGGTCGTCCAAGAAGGCCCGGCCTCCCAAGGAGTCAGCACCTTCCTCAGGGCCTCCGCCAAAGCCCCCGGTCAGCAGTGGCTCAGGCTCCTCGTCCTCCTCGTCCTCCTGTTCCTCTCGGAAGGTGAAGCTCCAGTCCAAGGTGGCCGTGCTCATCCGAGAGGGCGTCAGCAGCACCACCCCAGCCAAGGATTCTGCCTCTGCTGGTCTGGGCTCCATTGGGGTCAAATTCAGCCGCGACCGAGAGAGCCGCTCCCCCTTCCTCAAGCCCGATGAACGGGCTCCTGCCGAGGTGGCCAAGGCTGCACCGGGCAGCACCAAGCTCAAAAAGACCAAGGTCAAGGCCAAGGCCGGGGCCAAGAAAGCCAAGGGGACCAAGGGAAAGACCAAGCCATCTAAGACCAGGAAAAAGATCCGCAGCGGGGGCAGCAGCGGGGGCAGCGGCGGCCCCGTGCTGCTGAAGAAGTCCAAGGCGGATAGCTGCAGCCAGGCAGCAGGAGCCAAGGGGGCCGAGGAGACTTCCTGGTCCGGGGAGGAACGGGCGGCCAAGGCCCCCAGTACCCCGCCCCCCAAGGCAGCCCCTCCGCCCCCTGCGCTCACCCCAGACTCACAGACCGTGGACAGTAGCTGCAAGACCCCTGAGGTCTCCTTCTTGCCCGAGGAGGCCGCTGAGGAAGCCGGGGTCCGAGGTGGGGCTGAGGAGGAGGAAGAGGAGGAGGAGGAGGAGGAGGAAGAGGAGGAGCAGCAGCAACCTGCCACCACCACGGCTACCAGCACAGCTCCAGCCGCGCCCAGTGCTGCCCCCAGTGCGGGGTCCACAGCCGGAGACTCGGGGGCAGAGGATGGGCCGGCGACCCGAGTCTCCCAGCTGCCCACCCTGCCCCCGCCCATGCCCTGGAACCTGCCAGCTGGTGTGGACTGTACCACCAGCGGTGTCCTGGCCTGTGAGTGCCCCTGGGGCAGTGCAGATGAGGCAGGATAGGGAGGATGGGGTTGGGTGGTAGTGGGGGTCCTCTGAAGAGGTAGTGTGCAGTGATAGGGTGGTCTGCGCAGGTCCTTTTACAAGTCCCTTTGGTGTCTGGGTGTGCCGGGAGAGGTCCACGCAGCTGGCACAGTGACGTGGGGCTGGGCTCTGCCAAGAGCCAGGCAAGGACCAAAGGAGCAGAAGGCGAGGGTGCAGCAGGGCTTTGTCCCTTAGGGGCTGCCGTAGCTTCTGTCGGACCTCACGGAAGGGGCAGAGGCTAAGACTGAACACAGGTGGGAGGGAGACAGAATCCCAAGTCCTGCCTTGTCACTTCGTTTTTTGTTTTTTTCCGGTACCGGGAATCGAACTCACGACTTTGTGCTTGTCAGGCAGGTGCTGTGCCGCTGAGCTAAATCCCCAGCCCCCTGCCTTGTCACTTAGTGTCACTCAGTGACCCTGGTGTCATCCCTCCATTCTCTGGTGCCAGTACACACCTCGAGTCCTGAGATCATTGAGGGGACAGGGTGATTCTGTTAGTGTCCATGCCCCTTTATCTTGCTCTGAGCCTGAGGCTCCAAGGCCTGGCAGAGAGGGAGATGGCAGCAGGGGCCGGGCTGGCACCTCTCATCACCTCCTGATCTCACTTCTCTGCCTCCTGCAGTGACTGCACTTCTCTTCAAGATGGAAGAGGCCAATTTGGCCAGCCGAGCAAAGGCCCAGGAGCTGATCCAGGCCACCAACCAGGTGTGCTTCTGTGGGGAAGAGTCCCCATAATCCCTTCTTTTGTCCATTGCCTTGGGTTAGGAGAGGAACTAAAACTCCCAGCAGGCCTTGGGGCAAGGTATTGGCCAGGAGTGGAGGCTGTTGCCCTGGGACTGTTGGGCGATTAGGGTAGGAACCATGAGGTGCAAGTTCATGTTCCCCTCCACTTGCCTTTGCTCATTGCACCCCCTCTTCCCACAGATCCTCAGCCACCGGAAGCCACCCTCAAGTCTGGGGGTGACCGCAGCTCCTGTGCCACCCTCTCTGGGTTTACCCCCTGGCCCTTCCAGCTACCTGCTTCCTGGCAGCCTCCCTCTGGGGGGCTGTGGCTCTACCCCGCCCACCCCCACTGGGCTGGCTGCTCCGTCTGACAAGAGAGAGGGCAGCAGTAGCTCCGAGGGACGTGGGGACACGGACAAGGTGAGCTGGCCTTGGGAGAGGTGGATGAGTCAGTCATGACATCATAAGGAACAAAACTTAACTGGGACGAATGGATGGGAAACGAGTGTAGCGTAAGTTGGACTCTTTATTTTTTATTTTTTGGTACCAGGGATTCAACTCAGGACCCTGCGCTTGCTAGGCAGGTGCTGTGCTGCTGAGCTATATCCCCAGCCCGAGCCTATTTTTTTGAGACAGGGTCTCACGATGCAGTTGAGGCTGGTCTTGAACTCACTATGTAGCTGAGGCTGGCTTTGAACTCACAGTGATCCTCCTGCCCCACGCTCCCAAGTGCTGGGATCACAGGTGTGTGCCACCACGCCTGCTATGTATGAAAGAAAATGCTATAGACTGTGTGTGTATAAACACACCCACACGTACACATACACGTTTCCAAGCACACCTACGTTCCTCTACCCCTCAATGATGCATTGTTGTCTCCCTCTCTCTCCCTGTGTGGAAGTAGGAGAGGGTGGTTTTCAAAAGAAAAGGCGAGAACCTCTCTGGAGAAAGGGAAGGTGCCTGCTGGGCACTTGCAGACTTAGGTTTCTGTCCTTGCTGCCTCCCAGCTCCCACGGTCAGGGCTGGGGGCCCTTGTTCCTGCCCGGCAGTCCCTGCGGAGCCAATGCGTGGCATCGCCCACCCTTACCTGCCTCGTGGGGGCGCCAGAGGGAAAGTGCTGCGGACCTAGAATCCTCCCCCCGGGCCATGGAGACGGCCATAGCATGTGCTACAGGCCTGGGACCACAGGGACCCTGCAGGGGGACCTGGCTCCTCGGTCCTGCAGCCTGGTCTATTCGCTGCCCTTCGTCTCCCGTGACTGCTCTGAGGTGGATATCCTGGAGCAGTGCCTTTCTTGGGGCTATTTGTCTTAGAAAGCTACTTCCTGTTTGGCTGGCCAGCAGCTCCACCTCAGCTTGGAGGGAGGCAGCTGGGAAAGGTCCCCGAGGACCTTGAACTCACTGTGTAGTCTGGGGTAGCCTCGAATTTGGGATGATCTTCCTGCTTCAGCCTCCCCATGCCCGGCTCCTCCCACCTGCTTTTGCAAGGACTTGCAGGTGTGCAGGGGGCATGCGATTCGCTTCCCACCGAGTGCCCTGGACCGACAGCGTGGGCTGTGGCCCGCCCTCCCCATGATGCTGTCACATTTTTCAGATGGCCCAGAGGTTCAGCTGCCCCTGGTGGAGCAGGCTTTCAGGGCCACCGTGTGGTCTCCACACTGGCGCTTAGCCACCACCCGCGCTCCCCCCAGCGCCCCTCTGCCCCGCTGCCCTGCTGTAGAGCCGAGCGGCGGTTTCCAGCTTCAGCCAGCCTCCCTGTGGAGTCAGATTAGAAAGTCATGGTTTCTGGGCTGTGGATCTCCCCACTTGACTAAGAGGGCAGGGCAGGGGACACGCGTCCTGGTCGAGGCCTGGAGGGGCCTAGCGGGCTGGGATGACTGTAGCCGGGGTGCGCAGGGCAGACTTGAAGCAGGGTTGCACTTGTAGGGTGGCTGAGCTGGGGGCGGAGGTGAATAGGCCTGGTGGTGCCACATGCTCTCGCTGCGGCCTCACTGTCTTTTTCCCGCCGCGTCACCAGTATCTGAAGAAGCTGCACACGCAGGAGCGGGCGGTGGAGGAGGTGAAGCTGGCCATCAAGCCGTACTATCAGAAAAAGGACATCACCAAGGAGGAGTACAAGGACATCCTGAGGAAGGCCGTCCACAAGGTGGGGCGCGGGGGCGGATGAGGGGCGTGTGCAGACAGGGAGGCTAGGCGGAGGACAGGACTTCACCAGCGCCCCCCGGCCCCTGCTGTTGGCAAGGGGAACAAGTGGTGGCTTTGGCTGTTTGCTGGGCGAGCGGGCCCCAGGGCCCAGGTGTGCCCACGGTCCAGAGCGGGAGCAGCCTGGGTGGTGGCTAACTCGGCTGCTCCTGGCTCTCCAGATATGCCACAGCAAAAGTGGGGAGATCAACCCAGTGAAGGTGAGCAACCTGGTGCGGGCCTACGTCCAGCGTTACCGCTACTTCCGCAAGCATGGCCGCAAGCCGGGGGACCCCCCAGGACCACCCCGGCCACCCAAGGAGCCGGGGCCCCCAGACAAGGGTGGCCCAGGCCTGCCCCTGCCCCCTCTCTGAGCCCCTGGCTGCTCCTCCCTCCCCTCTGAGATTCTGGACGGACGTATTTATGGCTCCCCCTCCCCACGGCCCCCTCATCAGTGGAATGACTGGGGAAGGGCCGCTGCGGGGAAGGGGGGGCCCTGCCCAGCCCCTGCCTGTCTCCATCGCTCCTCTCCTCTGTTCGTGTCCTCCCTCCAGTTTCATTAAAGTCTTCATTAAATGTCACCCCAGCCCCATTATTTTAGCCCTTTCTTTTCGGAGACAGACTGGGGAGAGACCCACTGGGGAGAGACCCGGGGAGGGGCCCATGAACGGCCAACGTGAGGTTGGAGGCTGCCTCGGGATGACTGCTTTGCTCCCTGGGCCTCAGTTTCCTTAACGCAGCGGTTGGGGGATCACACAGGACCCCAGGCTCCCTGATTAGCGTCTTTTGCACTTAAGGACTCTGGTGCCGTTTGCCTCGAACTTGCCCCCAAATGGAGGGTCTCTGTCCCGTGGCGTTCTTGTAAGTAGCCCTGTGAAACTGCAGGGATTTAAGCCACCGAGAGGGAAATTGAGGCATAGAACAGCAAAGGCCATGTCGTCAGTCCCATCTTACCCAGAACTGCACCCCTGCCAGGAGTAGGGGCCCAGTCCCCAGGACAGGCAGGCCTTGCGTGCTCAGGGGTGGCAGAGGCCCAAGCGTAGCGCCCAGGAAGGAGAGGGCTCTTTATCCCGCAGCTCACAGGTAGTGGTGGGCTGGATTCACCTCCGCCTCCCTTGGGGAATGCAGCTCAAATCAGCCCAGGATTCTGACCTAGGTTTTCTTCTATTTGTGGCTTTGGTCTCTGTACACCTCAGTGTCAACAGTCTGTAAAATGGGTGGCTGTCACCTCACCAGATCCCTGGCGAGAGAGAAACAGGTAACATGTCAGCTGCCCCCTGCATTGTGTACCTGAGCTATGGCAGCTGCATAGATGGTTGAACTGAGACCTCACCAGGAAGAGCAGCCAGCTGGGGCAGGGCCAGCCTGGGGACACCAACACCAGACACACCCCTAAGGGTAGCAGGGTCCGCTTTATTGATACAAGTGAAGGGCCAGGGCTCAGGCCTCCCCGGTGGCCTGGAAGTCCATATCCTCAACCAGGTCCTGCAGGTAGGCCTTGTACTGCTCGGAGGTGAGGGAGAGGGGCTGGCTGTTGGAAATGTGCAAGTCCACGGTGTTCTCTAGTGAGGAGGCCCCCCCTGACCGGGCCATGTTTAACAGGGCCTTGAGGCAAGTGGGAACCACCTAGGAAGTTAGAGGAGGGACGGATGAGTCAGGGAAAACACCTAGCCACTGTTCCACTGTGGGGAAGAACAGTGGGCCACAACTCCCATCAGCCCCTAGCCTAGCCCAGAATGAACCCTGAGGAGCAGGGCTGCTGGGAACTGTAGTTTCTCCCATCTTTGCAAACACAGGAGCCAGTGTCCCTGGCTGGGCAGTTTGTGGTTAGGACTCCTGAAAGGCTGGTAGGACTTAGGGCCTGCCGACTTCCCCAGGCCTAGAGAGTTCAGCAGACTCCAGGATGAGGACAGGGTGTGAAGGACACCCTGCAGCTCCTGGGGATGAGGAACTGGCGAGAGCTGACCCTTGTTAGAGCGTCTTCAAAGGGCTTCTGGGAGTTGCTCCTGTTGTAACCTCTTCCCTTTGCAAGACTAGGCCTTCTACCCTTAGGAACCCAGGGCTGCTGGCACCTTGACCATCACGAGCCTCTTGACCCACGGCTGGTTCTGAGGCCATGACTCCCCGAGGCAGAACCACAGAGCGTAGCGTGGCGAGTGTCCACTTCCTTCCATGAAGGCAATCAGATCTGGGGGTCCGGAGTCTAGTCAGAGAAGGGAAGAGCCCTCCCCACCCTGTCCCTTCAACTCAAGTAGTAACTCCACCATTTCCAAACTACTGCCCTCGGCCACACGGGGGTGCTGCCCATCGGAACGAAGTCCCTGGCATTCTGCTATGACCTGAATGGTTCCTCCTCCCCGGCTCCCACTGCCCTTGTCTCACCCCAGCACCCAGAGCCCCATCTTTCGGAGGGGAGCCAGGCCCTGAGGGGGGAGTCCCACCCCAGGGACGCTCAGTGGAGTTAGGAGGGTTCATGTTTACTGTTCTTTAACTCTTTGTGGCTGTGCCGTCCAGGATGTGGACAGTTGCCACACGTGGCCATGTTACTAAGCCAGGTGTTGTGGTGCATGACTGTAATCCAAGCACTTGAGAGGATGAGGCAGAAGATCACTGCGAGTTTGAGGCCAGCCTGGGGAACACAGTGAGTTCAAGGCCAGCCTGAACTACATAGGGAGACCCTGTCTCGAAAAAAAAAATTGTAACTAACATGGAATAAAATAAAAGCTTGCTCCTCAGTTGCACTTGGCTCATTGCCTCTCACCAGTTGGAGTAGCTGGCAGGTACCACCCAGAACAAAGCCTACTCACTGGCGTCACGGCCAGCAAAGCCCAAGGGTTCTCTTTCCTGTTAGCTTTCTTTGGGGGTACGGGAGACGCTGGGCAAGTGCTCTGCTGCTGAGCTGTGTCCCCCACCCTCCCGCTGTAATAATGGTGATGACAGTGGCAGCAGGTTCCCTGGGACCTACTGTGTGCCAGGCCTGTGGGAGAGCAGGCCTGTCCTCTGCCCGCTCACAGTGGGGCAGAGTCTGAATTCAGTCCCACGCTGCCTGGCCCTGGCGCCCTTCACCCCGCTGCCCTGCTGCTTCCCACATGGGGCACTCACCTGTCACGAAGGGCCCCAAGTCGAACACGTCGCTGTCCACGTCCTTGGGGACCTCGCCTTCATGCCCGTGCTCGCAGTCAGGGAGCAGCTCCTCGCCCACAGCCCAGTACGCGTGACAGTGCCCGAGCCGCCGCGCACAGAGCCGCTGCCCCACCCGCCACAGAGCCAGGCCCCCGCCCAGGCTGCTCAGCACACGCCGCACGTAGCCTGTCACCACCTTGTCTGTCAGGGACACCCCAGGGTCTGGCAGTACTATTGGCTGTCCAGGAAGCGTCCTGTCTCCAGCTTCTAAGCCCACCAGCCGCAGGCCCCCTGGGCAGAAGATGGTCTGCTGGAAGACCTGGTGGCCTCGGTAGAAGGCGGTCACCTCGAACTCCCACTCTGAGCAGTGGCAGCAGCGGTGGCGGCCGTGTGAAGGGGAAGAGATTGAGAGACCAGGTGAGGGCCCACTGCGCCCACTGTGGCCCCGCCACCCCTCAGCGGACACTCACGTTCCTCGGGCACCAGAAGCAGCTTCAGTGGGTTTTCAGAGGGCCCTGGGTTTGGACAGGGTATGGGGTTGTCCAAGCTAGGACCCCACGAGTGCTGAGGGTACTGCCCCAGGGCCCCGTCATCGGGGAGTGGGACCAAGACCATGTCATTCAGCAGCTCCAAGATGTCTTCCTGGAGGAAACAGAGCCAGACATTGGTCAGCCTGGAGGGAACAGAGAGGATGAGGCCGCGGTGGGGCTGTGGGACGGGGCAGGATAGGGCAGAGGGCTGGGTGCGCCCTCACCTGGGTGTCGGAGGTACTGCCTCCCTCGTTGGTTTCGGGAGAGGCGTCCAGCTGAGAAGAGTCCCTGGCTTCTGCGGAGAAGTGAGCAGAGGATGGATTCCAGAGACCCCGCCCCCCCCCTCCCAGGCTCCGTGGGAAACCCTGCTGTGGCACACACACCTGCGTTCACGAACTCGTAAACCTTATGAGGGTCAAGAGGGTCCTTGCTCCGGTCGTCAGCTAAACGCAACACTGCCTTCCGGTTCAAGGCTGATCGGAAATTCCTCTTCCACGTTGGCAAGTCGGGCTTATCCCTCCCGGGAAGGTAGGCACCGCTGGCCTCAGCCCAGGCCTGCGGCCACATCAGTACAGGATAGTGGGGAAGCCCACGTGGACTGCGCCCCTGGGGTCCTAACCCTACCTCCTCCAGTCCTAACTCCTCCTATCCCAAGGAGCAAATCCGCGAGATCCTATCCCCAAATACTTGGAGTCTGTGCCCCAAGCACCTTCATCCCCGCCCACCTCCAGCTATTTTGCTATGTATTACAGGCTGGCCTCGAATTCACAGCAATCCTCCTGCCTCAGCCTGTGCAGCCCTGGGATGACAGGCGTGCACCACCACACCCGGCTCTCTAAACTAGTTTTCTAGGCTCTACTTGGTCTAATTCACCACCACCGCTGCAGCACACCCTCTGTGGTAACACCACCTCATCACAGTCCTGACGGTTTACCCCGACTAGTTACCCTGAGTTGGTGTTTAGTCACCTATCGCCAATGTTTCAAGAATTCTACCACGAAGCCCCGCCCACAATGAGCTCCCAACCTTCAAAACGAGTTTCCTTTTTTTTTTTTCTTCCCCAAAACGCGTTTCCTTAGAGATCCAGACCCACCTTCCTGGCGTAATCCCTAACTCGCCATTCCATTCCAGGCGCCCATCATAAGGCCGAGTCTGCGGGCCCCGCCCCCCCAGCCCACCATCAGCGCCCATAGAAGCCCGCCCCTCGAGGCTTGGCCCCGCCCCCTCGGGTATTGTATTTTTTGTGTGTGTGTGGTGCTGGGGATCGAACCCAGGGCCTCGTGCCTGTAAGGCAAGAGTTCCACCACTGGTACTCTTTACTCTGTGCGGAGCTCCCCCTTACCCCCACTCCCAGCACTCCGGGGCCCACGCACCTGGAAGATGCCGAAGTCTTCCACCTGTGCGTCCTGCCGCAGGCCGTGCTTCCAAGGGATGCGGAAGCGCGTGCGCGCCTCGTCCAGCCAGGCCACGCCTTCCAGCTGCCCCTGGTCCAGCTTCGACACCAGCCAGGGCAAGATCCGCGGCTTTGGGGTTCCCATGGTCCGGCCTGCGCGCACGGGGCGGTTCCTGGGCGCGGGCAGCCTTCTGGGCCCGCTCGCCCGCCGCTCTCACACCGAGACCTCCCGCTCCCCAGCTACGGGGCAGGCCCTTCACCCGTGTTTTCCAGGGCTGCAAACCCGGCCCCCCCGCCACGCTCCCGTCCTGAGAGGGCTGTCCATCTCCGGAGCTGCCTCTCCTCCCTCCCCAAGTGAACTCAGAGCCGCTCTAGCCCCTCAGTTCCTCCAGTCCAAACCCTCCCCTTCTTGGTGTTAACCACTCCCTCGCCCACCTCATCAAGCAGGTAACCCCACTTCCAGAACGGCCTCCTTCCCTAGCTATTTCAGCTATTTCCGCTGCCACTCCCGTACTTTCCCCAGCGTAGACGCCTACAATTATGCCACAGACCCCGCTTCCCAATTCCCTGCGCCCACAACTCCCCCCGGGGAAAAAAAACCGCTCCGCGTTCTATTGGAACTTCTCCCCATCTGCAGAAACCACCCCGCTCCTCCGGGAGTCCCCGGAGGCGGCGGCTCCTCTCTTCCTCCTTCCTCCCGACTTCCTCTAGTCTTCCCACAGCCGACCTCCAGCGCCCGCCAGCGCTGCTCGAGTACACAGCCTTCCTCCGCAGCTACCAGTGCAGACCCATCCTTTCCCTCGATCCTCGCTCCGGGCGCCACCAGCTTGCCCCAGCTCTTCCGCGTTACCTACCCTGGGAGCGTCGGGGCGCGCGGGGTACGGGGCTGCACCCGCTTTGGGGGCTCCTGGTAGCTCTCAAACTCGAACCTGCGCACCCTGTTTCCTGCCAGCTAAACTACAGAGCCCTGGGGCTTTCTTCTCTATCGATTTTCCTGTGGTAAAATCAACTTTACCATCCTTTGGGTAAAAATTCAAAGGAAAAAGGGGCGGTGCAAAGAACACTGGCCGCCCCTTCCATGCCCTTTTTTGAGCTTCCGACCACAGGCATGCTGGGAACGTCATATGCAAATTAGGCGGCACTACGCCCCGCCCTTTCTACCTTGGGGCGGTTACCAAATCGCCGCAGTGCGCAGGCGCGGGAAAGTTGAACTAATTAAAGTTTGTAAAACGTGAGTGGAGGCGGGGGCGGGGACGGCGGGGACGGCGACGGCGGGGACGGCGGCTGCGGCGGGGCCCTGCAACAGGTGAGTAGGGTCTTGTAGAGGGCTAGGGTAAGGAAGGAAGAGGAGGGGCCAGGACCCAGGAGCTGGCATCCTAACCCCGCTTCTCCTGCTCCAAATGCCCGGGGTCTCCAGGCTAGCTTGATAGTTGGAACTACATTTCCCAGCAGGCTCATCGGCGAAGAAGCACGGAGCAAGGGAACTATTTGCCACAAAGCCTGCTGGGATTGGTAGTTTCTGATCTTCTAAGGGTTTAAGCCGCTTGGCATTTTGGCTCCTTTAGAATCCAGGAGTCGGAGTCAAATCTCATTCTCCCTCGAGATCCAGGAGTCCACGCCCCAGCCATCTTCTCCTTAGATCCCCAGACTTTCTCAGGACAAAGTAGTGTTCATCCCTAACCTCCCGCTGGGAACGCAGGAGTCTCGGTCCCAAGACCCAGCTCTTCCCGGAGACTCAGCACCCTGTTGTTTGGGGCACCATGAGTCCCGGTCTGCTCTCCATTCAGGGCCTAGGAGTTCGGACCCCAAGCCTCCGATTTCCGCTGAACCTTGAGACCATCCCTCTGCCCTGTCTCTTGCAGCTGCCTCCATGGCAGGCTCAGAAGAGCTGGGGCTCCGAGAGGACACGCTGAGGGTCCTAGCTGCCTTTTTGAGGCGGGGTGAGGCTACCGGGTCCCTCCCCGCATCTCCACCCAGGTAGGAGGGCTTACTGTCTTCCCCCAGGCCTACATTTGGGTTGAGGACCTTTGTAACTTGCTCCTGATCTCAGCCTGTCTCCTCTCTCCATATCTGTCTCCCCGGGGTTCCAAGGACCGGGCCTCCACAGGAGGAGAAAGGGACTGTTTGCAGGAGATCTCTGGGGTCACTCTCTGAGTTCCTCTCCCCAGGAGTCCTGCCCAAGTGGAGCCCACGGACTTCCTGAGCCGCCTTCGGAGATGTCTTCCCTGCCCGCTGGGCCGAGGAGCTGTTCCTCCTGAGTCCTCTCGGCCTTGTTCCTTGCCCCTCCGCCCCTGCTATGGCTCAGAACCTGGTAAGAGATCCCCTAGATCCTAGCCTTGGAACAGGCAGGACCAAGATTCATGGTTCCTAAAGCATAGACAAATAGTATTTGAGGGTCTCTAGGCTAGTGAGTAGCTGCATGGGATCTCCAGCACCAGCCTTCACCACTCCGCCCCCAACCCCAGCTCAGTTAGATTTTTGTCACTTCTGTGAGCTAACTGTGGGGAGGTGGGCTTTTGGCATTTTTTTAAAAAAACAAGGCCTTGCTATGTAGTTCAAGCTGGCCTTAAACTCACAGAGATCCTTCTGCCTCAGCCTCCCAAGTGCTGGGATTACAGGCGTGTGCCACCATGATCAGGCTACTCCATCTAATTGGTGTTTGTGTTTCCATACATGCTTCTGCTCCCCTAAGAGTGTCCCTTTAGTAGAAATAGGTATCCACAATAGAGGCAGGACACCTGGTTCTTGTTTGTATGACTAGGAAAAATCCTATCTCTTTTCTGCTTCTCTGTTTTTCCAGGAGCAGAACAGCAATGGGGTAGCAAGTCATGAGGCTTGATCAAGAGTGACCAACAGGTTTCCCCTATAGGTGAAGCAGGATAGACTAGTAATGGCTGCTCTGGTACTAGCATGGAAAGGAAATTGCAGTGGGAGAGATGAATGCTGTGGTCAATTGGTGATGTCTGAAATGTGTGAGGGAGAGGGTGGTAAGGCAGGAATGCCTTGTTTGCTTTCCTTGGATGGAGTAATCTTCAAAGTCCCGTCCAGTGCTGACATTTGGAGTTCCATTTGGGAACATGATAAAGTGGAAGGTACAGAATTTGGGGGGTCTTTCATCGAGTTTTCTCACTGGGCTTCATTTTACCCCAGAGAGACCAAGTATCACTGACTGTTTTCACCCCAGGCCCAGCTACCCCTGACTTCTATGCCCTGGTGGCCCAGCGGCTGGAACAGCTGGTCCAAGAGCAGCTGAGATCTCCACCCAGCCCAGGTAAGGACAGAGGGGCCCTGGAGAAGGAGAAAAGGAGCAGGGCTTTGTCCCCAGGCTGATTTTCCTCTGCCCCTAGAGTTGCAGGGCCCCCCACCCACGGAGAAGGAAGCCCTGCTGCGGAGGCTGGTGGCCTTGCTGGAGGAGGAGGCAGAGGTCATCAACCAGAAGGTGACAGACCCCCTGTTCAGTGCCCTAGCGAGGACAGGAGTGGTGGGATGGCCGGGGCCTGTGATCGGAAGCTAGAGCTGCATTTTCTTTGGAAGATCGGGTGGGGAGAGTGGGACAGACTCTCAAAGAAGGGTTGAATGAGGGGTATGATCAGGGTAATACTTTAAATGAGTGGCTGTCTTTGGTTTTAAGGTAGCATTGCCTAAATGCAGCAGGCGTGGCTAGAAGATTAGCATCCTAGAACTCAGCTAAAGTAGGACCTGGCTCTGGCTGTGAAGAACTAGTTGGGAGGTGTTGTGACATAGCAGGCCCTAGGCCACCGTGGGAGGCATTTTGGTGGAGACCATAGTCAGATGGAGGGACGGATGGGGTGTGGCTAGTGTTAGCGTCTCATCCGGTTGACTGAGGTCAGCCGTCTCTTTCCTCCCATCCCACAGCTGGCGCTGGACCCCGCCCTGCGCGGCAAGCTGGCCCGCCTGTCCACTGGCTCCTTTGCCCGCCTAGTGGAGCTGTTCTCCAGCCGGGAGTGCAGCCCTGGCCCGAGACGCACCAGCCCTTCGCTGCCGTGCCCCGGGCCCCCGCCGCCTTCCCCGGAGCCCCTGGCCCGCCTGGCCCTGGCTATGGAGCTGAGCCGGCGTGTGGCCCGGCTGGGGGGCACCCTGGCCGGCCTCAGCGTGGAGCATGTGCACAGCTTCACACCCTGGATCCAGGCCCAAGGGGGCTGGGTGAGCCACAAACCTCCTCTGGGCCCCAGTTTACCCCGCTGTGCGGTGATGGAGTGGGTAGGGGCTGGCGTAGTGTCCTCCCAAATCTCTCCGCTCCCAGGTCCGCCAGTCATTCAGTCTGTTACCGAGGCTTGCTGGGCACTGGGCGCTGAGATTTGTCCAGACACTGCCCACTGGTGGACACCAGCTGCTGTGAGGGCCCATGAGAGGAGTAGGGGGAAAGTACCTGATGCACTGCCTGGCACCTTTGGGCATTTGTGTGATTCCTGGTTACTGCCTGCCTGGGTCCTACAGTGCCCACCAAAATGCCCTTCCCTTGGGTCCCCTCCCTTCCCTCCGCACTTCTGCTCATTCTGGGGTGCCCCGGGATAATGGAGAGGATTCCTGGCTATTTATTTATTTATTTATTTATTTATTTTTGTTTGTTTTTGTTTTTTTGAGACAGGGTCTCATTATGCAGTTCAGGCTGGCCTTGAGCTCACTTATGTAGCCGAGGCTGGTCTTGAACTTGGAACAACCCTCCTGCCTCAGCCTTCCCAGGGCTGGGATTACAGGCGTGTGCCACCACGTCTGGCCTTATTTATTTATTAATTGACTGATTGATGGTTTGGTTTGGTTTGGTGTGGTTTTGAGGCAGGGTCTCACTATGTAGTCCACGCTTGTCTTGCACTCACTATGTACTTCAGGCTGGCCTTAAACTTGCAGTGATCCACCTGCCTCAGCCTCCTAAGGGCTAGGACTCCAGGTGTGTGCCACTATGCCCTACTATTTGTTTATGCTGCTAAGTACTGAGCCCAGGGCCTCAGGTATACTACACAAGGGCACTACCACTGATCCACACCCAACCCTTGGCCACTGACTGGATGTAGTAGTGGCACATACCTGTGACCCCAGCCACTCAGGACGCCAAGACAGAAGAAGCAGCAGGAGTTCAAGGACAGCCTGGGCTACCCAACAAGTTCAAGAGCAGCCTAAACTACACAGTGAGATTCCATCTCCAGAAATAAAGATCAAAATTTTAAATTTTAAAAAGGGCTGGAGCAGTGTGCATACCTGTAATCCCAACAATGAGGAGGCTGAGGCAGGAGGATCCTGAGTTCAAAGCCAGCCTGAGCTACACAGTGTAACCCTGTCTCCAAAACAAAACAAACAGCCACTTGTGGTGGCACACACCTGTGACGCCAGCACTCAGAAGGCTGAGGCAGGAGGATCACAGTTCAAGGCCAGCTTTGACTACATAGTGAGTTCAAGACCAGTCTGTACTACATAATAAGACCCTACCCCCCCCAAAAAAAGGAACAAAACAAAAAGGGTGAGGTAGCCAGCTCAGTGCTAGAGCGCTTGCTACCATACAAGAGAGCCAGTTCAATACCTAGTGTTGCAAACCAGGCGGGGCTCATAACCTTGACCCTGCAAGCTCCAAGCCCTCCCCTCCACGCTCCTGTCCGGAAGGACTGAAACCTCACACTCCTAAGCATTTTTCACACCTAGTTTCTGCTTCCTTGTCTTGTCCACCCCCAATTCCTCTTTTATTTTTTTTCTCTTTTTGAGACAGGGTCTCGCTATGCAGTTCAGGCTGGCCTTGAGCTCACTTTGTAGCCCAGGTCTTAAACTCGCAAGGAGCCTCCTGCTTCAGCCTCCGGGTGCTGGGATTACAGGTTTGCACCACCACGCCCGGTTCCAATTCCTCCTTTGAAGACTGAGCAGTCTCACCTCTTCTGTCCCTGGCTGTACCTTCAGTGCAGGTCTCGGCTGTGCGCCACGGTGTGAGGTGACCAGCAGCTGTCCCCACCTCCCTAGCACCTACCTCCCCTGGTCCACGGGCACTGCCTCAGGCTCCTGTCTTACGGGTCGCCGTGAGTGAGAAGGACCGGGCCTGGCTCTCTGGAGGAGGCTTGTGGAGCTGGAGCGGGGAGAGTGACCGGGAGGAGACACCTGATGGCAGGAGACGGGCGGACAGACCCCGTGTCACTGTGAACTTGGACTCACCTGTGGGGAGCTGAGCTGATGTTCATGTTTCTCTGGCGCCCTCTGGCGGCAGCTCGCGGGGAGACAGCGGACCGCCTTGGGGGCGGCCGCCTCGGAGCTCCCTGGGGGGTAGATGGCCCGAGGGGTGGGAGCGGGCTAGGAGCTTGGAAGACGCCTGGAGGTGTCCCGGCCAGAGGGAAATGCTCTTTGGGCCTAGGCCCCACCTTGAGGGGACTGGGATTAAGTGTGGAGCCAGTTGGGCATGGTGGTGCATGCCAGGGATCGCAGCGCTTGGGAGGCTGAGCCAGGAAGATCGCCAGGAGTTCGAAGCCAACCTGAACTGCATACCAAAACTCTGTCTCTCTCTCTCTCTCTCTGTCTCTCTCTCTCTCTCTCTCTCTCT